CCGCCTCTTCTGACCAGGCCCCACTTCTGAACAGTATACTCAGCTCTGGACTCATCAATGGACCAATCCAGTGATGAGCACAGCAGCCCACGATCCAGTCACCTTCCAAAGGCTCCAGCTCCGAACACAAGACTGTGCAGTAATGATTTAGACCAAAGCCATCACAAGGTCTTTAGCAGGGGAAGGTCTCTGATATGACAAGATGCAGCTTTAGCAGGAGCCCAAGATGTGAAGTTTGACATCTTTCCTCCAGCCTCAGCTTAGGAGTGAGAAGAGACTGTGGTACATTTTGTATTCATCTTTATCTTTTCGGGGAAGGAGAGTAATAGTAATGAGCAAAAGTAATTTGGGGGTTAAAATAGAGATTTGGCTTCCCATGATAATCCTAGTCCTCTACTGACAGTAAGGCATCTATGAGAATTTCTCTGTACTCATTTGTCTTCCTTACTATTCTCTTTAAAGACTTCAAAATAATTTCTGTTTAATAATTGATTGGTGTTGGCCAGACAAGGTGGTGCATGCCTGTAACCCCAACACTTGAGAGGCTGAGACAGGAGGATCGTCAGGAGTTTGAGGCCAGTCTGGGCTACATAGTGAGTTCAAGATCAGCCTGAATTACATAGTGAGAACCTATCTCAAGAAAAAAAAAAAAAAAAAAAAAGAATTGATAGGTTTTAACTTCCCTGCCTGATTTCTCATATGTGAATGAATTTCAGAACCGTTTCCTCAGTTGTCTTCCCAATCTTCAGCATCCCCAGCTTATTACATAGTAATGGTCGGAAAGCACAGGGTACATGGGAAGGAAAAGGATCACTGCCTTAGGAGGGTGCAGTCATGTGCGGAAGCCAGAGACTACAGAGCCTTGGGGCCAGAGACAGGTACTGGTTAGCAGCAGGGCTGCACAGCAGGTGAGAGGAGGGCGAATGAATGAAGCTTCATCAGTATTTATAGCCATTCTTATCACCAGCCTTGCCACTTGAGCTCCTGTCAGATCAGTGGCAGCATTAAATTCTCATAGGATCAAGAGCTGCTCATGTGATGGATCTAGGTTGTGTGTTCTTTATGAGAATCTAATGCCTGATGATCTGAGGTGGTGATAGTAGTGCTGGGGAAAGTAATTATTATGTATTGCAAACATACATTATTTAAAAAAAAGGGAAAAACTGTCTTCCACGAAACCAGTCCCTGATGCCAAAATAGTTGGAGACTACTGTTATATGATTTAGGGCGAACCTGGTCTCTACAGGAGCCAGTTTTTATCTCAATACCATGTCCTTCTGTCTCCCTCTTCTGCAGGCAATATGAAGCTGACCCTGGTACAGATCTTTTTCGTCATGCTTTTGTTGCTACTGGGCCTGGGGCTGGGCCTAGGGCTGGGGCTCCACATGGCTGCAGCAGTCCTGGAGGACAGTGATCAGCCGCTGAATGAGTTCTGGTCCAGTGACTCGCAGGACAAGGCTGAGGCCACTGAGGAGGGAGAGGGCACTCAAACCCCAGAAACCCTGGTGCTTGGCAATAAAGCAGTTGTGCAACTTGACTGGCCGGAAGAGACCATCCTCAGTGAAGACGAGGTCGGCGGGGACCGGGCTCTCAGAGCGGAGGCCCTCTTCCGGAGCTCCAGAGATGATCTGAGGCTTGAGTTGATGGCCAGAGAATGCAATGCCATGATGGCACACAAGGTGAAGCAGCACAATCACAGCTGCATACCCGAGTACACATTCATACATGAGGACCCGGACACAGTCAAAGCCGTCTGTAGCAGTCCCGCTGTTGCCTGTGAGCTCAAGGGGGCCAAATGTCACAAAAGCCCTCGTCCTTTTGACTTGACATTCTGCAAGTTGTCAAACCCAAGCCAAGTTACTCCTAACTGCAATTACCTAACTTTCATTATGGAAAAGGTCATCCTTATAAGCTGTAAGAACATGAAGCTCCATTTAACGGCTATACAGTGAAGAAACTACCCTATTCTTACTCTCTTCCATTTGCTTTCCCACCTCTGTTTCCTCTGCTGTGCTCCTCCCCTTGGCTATCTTGTACAGAAGGTCCTGAGAAGAGAAGACAGATTATGTTTTATCATCCCCTTCTGAAAATAAAACTCTTTGCCTTAGGGGTCACACACTTTGCATCTTGTTCCTGGGAACAGTGGTGGCAGAATAGAGCAAAGATGCCTAGTTTTTCTCCCTCTCTTTCCTAACCCTTGTCCTGGAAAGGGGGAAGCGAACTGCTGCTCTTGTCCCCACTATGCCTGTTGTCATCAGCCTTTGCCTGGTCTGAGTTTACCTTTGGGTGTGAGTTTAGTGCATCCTTTACGCATCTCCTCCCTGCTACACACCTCGAGCTTCTGTGGTGATGACGTGACTCCTAGCTTTTGCGCAATTGCATTTCTCTGCTGTGGATGCAAATCTGCTACTGCATCTGGAAAACCATGTGGTTCGGGTTTCATTCCCTGAGCCTGGGGGAAAAGATAGGGCCTAGATGTAACTGTGTGCTGACATTGCAGTGTGGGTCATAGATCACAACAGAATTCATGCTGGGACAAGGACAGCTTTCTTTTTCCTAACTTTCCTACCTTTTTATCTTCCCTCTCCTCTTTACTACATGCCTCTTTACTTTGCTTCTTTTTCCATTTCTTCTGTTCTCCTTTCCTGTTTTTGTAAAATTAGCATTTCAATCTCTCTCTCTCTCTCTCTCTCTCTGTTTTTCTACTTATGCTTTGCCAAGAAAGCAGATATTGGACCCCGTCAGAATCTGGTGCAGGCAGGTCAAGAGCAGGGTGTCAGGAGAGTGAGAGACAGAAACGGGGAGAGTGAGCAGCCATTTCCCAGGTTAGGACAAGGAAGCAGGATAGCGCTCACTTTGGAGGCTCAATGGAGTGAGTGACAGGATCTCTTACTCAGCACTATTAAGCAGCACAGTTGGGGCTGAGAGACCTCTTCCCCTCCATCCACCTGAGTTTGGGTGACACCCAGGACTATGTCTCCTTTCATTCTCTAAAAAGTCACCCAAAGATCTTAAAAATCTCTAAAGCTCCGGGCCAGAGCACACCCATGTTCGATCTCTTAACTTTCAATAAACTTTTCCCAACCTGAACCTCATTAGAGGTTCGTACATGTAGACTGCATCTCATGTAAGTAACCTAATCAGAGTGAACTCTGGGACACACATGCATGCTATGGTGCCCCTGAGGTGACTCGACACTCTGTCAAACATTCCTGTCAATCTTATCCAGAGAGCCAGCAAGAGATCCCTGGGCTGGGGTACATGGCCTTTAAAATTCAAAAGCCTGATGCATCTGTGTGCTTTTAATTTTTCTGTCACCCCAAAGCCACTTTTCTGTTCGAGTCACATTTTTGTTTCAGAATTGCTCTGAGTATATCTTCCTGTTATCTTCAATAAATGTAGCTGCTTTTTCTTTTACCATTGAAGGCACACTGAATGTACACTTAAAGTTGTTTGTTCATCACACACAAGAACCTTACACGTGTCTGTCAAATCTATCACATTATTGATATAGGGTGTATGATATAGACCTCCAAATAATATAAGGGAAATGGTATAACTCCCATCCTTCTAGATATCTGAAACTCCAAGTTCATGTTCTGTAAAATTGAGGAATGAGTTCCAGGAATAGTGGAGGTTAAGAGTGGGAAGAATTTATTGAGAGAGTTAACTTCTGTTTAAAAGCAACAGACAGGGGCCCAGAAAGTGGGCTGCCCATTAACTTGGTTCTCAAGGGTGTTTTATTGAGCAAAGCCACAAAGTGAGGCAGGTTCAAAGCGGGACAAAACTAGAGTCAACTAATAAGATTACAAGTATAGTTGCTTAGATAATATTGATCCAATGGAAAATCACAAGGTGGGTATAAGGCGAGACAAAACTGTGGTTAACAAATAAGATTACAGTAAGTATAGTCACTTAGATAATACTGATTAAATGGGGATCAAACGGGGAAGCTAGTCACATAACAAGCACACATGGACAGAACAAGGATTTTCTGGGAAGGAAGGAATGGGCTAGGGAGATTTTGGTCCCATATCCAAGGTAACTGATGCCTTTTTAGAACATCAATCACTGCTGTTCATCCCTAGGAGCAGTATGTGGGTGTAGTTGGTCCTCTTTTTCCTTGAAGCCTGGCCTTCAGTGAATATGCCTCCATCTTATCTTCTGTGCTGAGGGCCTAGCCCTGTTTAACTGCCTGTAATGCTTATAGCTAACTTACCTGTCTGCAGTATTATCAAGCACATCTTCCCCTATCTCACTCTTAAGAACAAGGAAGGTAGTGAAAGACTAATTTTAGCAGAGAAGGTATTGGATCTACCTATGGAGGGAAAAAGCATGGGGATAGATAAGTAAAGAACACAAGTAGCTGCTCTCAGACTATTTTCTCAAACGAATTGTACATAAGGAAATAAGTATAGTTACACATGCATGGGGCTATATTACTCTGTGATTTGAATTTGAGATTTTCTCCCCTTAGGGTTTTTCCTTGCTTCACTTTCCTAGACTGTCACAGAGCCAAGGGTCAGGGAGACTGAAGGAAAGTCAAGCCTTGGTTTACGTGACGTGGCTTTTGTATCCACAGTTTGTTCCCTTATTTATTTCCCCGTTTTTCTTACCCTTCCTGTTCTTGCAGGCAGACCAGGATTTGTGCTGTCTCTAGGATCCTCCCGGACTCTCCGGATTTGGTTACTCAAGGTTGAGGTCTATACTACCTGTTGCTCCCTCAAAACCCAGGACACAGACATTTTTGGAGTAAAGAAAAGGATTTATTCAAAACCAACTCCACGGGAGAGAGAAGGGCCTCTTTTTGCCTCAAACTTCTCTCTCTCTGTACAAAGGCTATTTCTGCCAGGGAGTTGTTGGGTGGGGAAGGAAATTCTCAAGATGTTTTCATCTTCAAGGCCAATTTCTGCTCCCTTCCTCCCCTGCTGAAACCAAAACCAGACCTTGACCTCTTGGGACCAGCATATTTTTCCAGTAACTTCTTCACCCCCTCATCTGAGCAGAGAAGAAGAGAGCATGGGGGTTTACACTGTCAGCTGAGGAAGCTGGAGAAAAAGCCTATCTCAAAAAAACCACAAAAATCCTAATGTTTAAAGATCGTCCTCAACCTCTTGGTCACAATTCCACATTTCCCTTGGGCCTCTGGCCAATTCTGCTGGCAGCGACTTCCTAAAAACAGTTTTGTTTGGCAGGAGGCGGGCTCTGCAGCAGCCCTTGTGTTTCAGCGGCCCTAGAGGAGTACTGGGGGAGGAAGGTGATGGCTCCTCTTCCCTCTGATGGGGAACAGATAAAATATTAACACGGCAAGGGGCGAAATGAGCAGTGGGGTAAGAAAAGATGCAAAAAGAGAACTATCAGACAAAACTAGCCTGGTTAGGAATTTGGTAGGAAAACCCAGAGCATTGGAAGAGATGTAAAGAAAGGTTGTAAGTCGAACTTCACCTTAACAGAAAGCCAAAGGCGCCATCGTATGAAGGAAACTATCAAGACAGAGATTTAGCCAGGGGTTGAAACCTATGTTCTCTCACTTGTAGCTTAACTGCGCCTCTTACAAGTTCCTGGCTTCTCTCCCTAAGGTTCCCACACCGCTCAGTGACAGCTCCCTACTCCCCCTTCTGGTGGATGGGAGGTCCACTGTGGAGGAAAAGTCTGCCGGGCTTTCATCTGACCTGGAAGACTCGCTCAGGAAAGCAGTTTGTGAGACACTCTGCAGGCTCCTAGTGGCCCACTGGGGAAACACAGTTTCTACGGTAGCCAATGTAACACAATGACCAGTGTTTTGTTTTTTTTAAAGTTTAATGTAATACAAGTAGATATTTTAAAAGAAAATATTTTTTAAAACTACAAAATATAAGACAATTTACTTCACAACAAAATAGTAAGAGAATAACAATGGTTATTATACTGTGCATCATGATTTTATAAAAATGTCCAAAATGTTATTCAGGGTACATCAGAAAAAAGATTCTCCCTTACAAAGAAGAAACAAACAAACGGACAAAAATTTCCTTTTCAATGAACAAAAGAGGGCCGGGGATCTAGCTCAGCAGCACAGCACCTGCCTGGCAAGCGCAAGGTTGTGAGTTCAATTCCCGGTACCGGAAAAACAAAAAAACAATCAATGAACAAAAGAAACTTATAGTATAAATGAAACAAATCACTGGCCATTAGAAAAAGGCAAATTAAAACAAAATGAGCTGCCATCTTACCTCAGAAAGAATAGCCATCATCAAAAGATCAAGTAACAAATGCCAGCAAGGAAAAAGGCGCTCTTCTACAGTGTTGGTGGGAGTGTATACTAGTACAACCCAGGGGGCCACTATTACAACAATAGAAATCAGTGTAGAGAGTCCTCCAAAACTTAATAGAAATTCCATTTGATCCAGCTATTTCCCCTTCTAGGTATCTTCCGAAAAGAGTTAAACTCATCATATCACCAAGATACATGTATATCTGTGTTTATAGCAGCACAATTTATAATACCTAGATATTGGAAACACCACATATGTTTACCAACAGATGAGTAGATAAGGAGAATGTGATATTTATATACAAGGGAACATGCCAGGTGTGGTGGCGCATGCCTGTAATCCCTGCACTCAGGAGGCTGAGGCAGGAGGATCATTGAGTTTGAGACCAGCCTGGGCTACAAAGTGAGCTCAAGGCCAGCCTGAACTGCATAGCAAAATCTTGTCTCAAAAAGACAATAAATAAATAAATAAATACACACACACACACACACACACACACACACACACACACACAAGGGAACACTACTTTGCCATAAAGAAAGATAAACGAGGCATTTGTAGGCAAATGGAGGCAAAGCAAGAACATAATGTTAAGTGAAGTAAGTCAGACACACAAGCTTAAATATCACATGGTTTCTCTTATTTGAGAAACTTAGTATAATAAAAGAGATACATAGGAAGTAGGGAGAAGCTCATACCACTCCTGAGATTATCCAACCTGTTGACTCACAAATATTTCAAGATTAAATGCTAATTTGTTTCATTTAGGCTACTAGTTTCTTTTGTTCACTCACAAGGTGTTGAGGACA